CTCTGAGGGACTTTGCCTGGCCGCCCTGCGTGGGGAGCGGCGTCCCACACCCACCCGGGCAGGGCCACTCTGGGTCCTGGCGTCCCCGGGGAGCCGGGGCGGGGCGCTGGGCGGCCACCTCCCTGGAGGCCCATTCAGAGGGCGGCCGGGAACTGGTTGGGGTGGGGGGGAGTCTGGACCGCGGCTCGGCCTGGGGCTACGGTGGGCGGGCCTCCAGTCAGTGCCTGCAGGCGGCGGCTCCGCCTCGCTCAGCTGCTTAGTTCGCTTCCTTTTCGGTCCTTCCCCCCTTTTCCTTTCCCTCCCTTTAGTCTCTTTCAAACTCCCAGCTGAAACCCTCCAACACTGCCAGTCCCCGGGCCAGCATCTCTGAAGGGACAAGCGATTGGCACAGGGGAAGTGGCCACTCCTGGGAGCCACCCAAACCGGCCTGGGATGGCGGCCTCCCTGGGATTCCACACCCACGAGGCAGAAGCCTCCAGCACCCGCCAGAGCCCCTCGTCAGCTCTGCACCCAGCCAGCTGGGGTCCACAGACTGTCCCTCCCCCCAGGACGGGGGGGGGGAGGGGGTGTCACCTCACATCTGCCACCAGCCACCAGTCCCGAGGCTCTTCCCTCCAGCCCTGCCCAGGAGTGCAGGGGACCTTCCTGCTGTCACTGCCTGCTCAACCCTTTGCGTCCCTCCCCGCCCAGGTGGGCCCTGCCTGCCCCCCCCCCCCTCCACAGACGCCCATCTCCACATCCGCAGCCCCTGCCACTGCCAGGCTGCTGGTGGCTCTAACCAAACCCTGGCCCCATCTGCCCTCTTCTCTCTCATTTTCCTCCCTCTGACTGAAAGGCCAACCCCTAAGCCGACTGGTGAAGAACTCCTGGACAGCCTTCAAAGCCCCTTTCAAATAGCCCCATACTTTCAGAGGACGCGGGGCACTGGGAGGGCGTGTTCCCCTCCTCTTGGCCTGCAATGGGACAGGACGAGTCTGCGAGGTAGAGAGGCGGGGCTGTCCCTTTGCCGCCTTCCCAGCGGGAGCCCCGAGCCAACTGCACATCCCCGGGTGCACAGCCACCAGGTGCGGCGTGCAGCACGCTCGCCCCTGAAGCCTCACAGGTTGGGCACAGTCCCATGCCACCATCAAACCCTAACACCTTCCTGCAAGGGCAGCCCCAATCCCACCCCTTCCAGGACATCCCCTCCTGGACCACAGGCCAGCACGGCCTCCAGCACATCAGAAAGGAGACCAGGCAGGCACACGCACAGCAAGCTTCCACTTTGGCTGCTGACCAGCCCCATGCAACCTGCGCCCCACTCTTGTCACCTGGGGGGGGGGCTGACAGGCACATGCCCCTCACCAGGAGGCTCCTCACTGGGAACCTCGGCCGCCTCTAGGCTGCAGGCCAGAGAGATCCCTTGGACCCTCCCCTGAGGTTGCACAGGGCCCTTCCTGTGCACGGTTTACATGTTTGTTTCTCTGGGCAGAGAGGATCCTGCCGGAAATGCAGGCTCAGCAGAGGGCAGCTTGGCCTTTCCCACGGCCCAACGCTCCTGGACAGAGAGGAAGGGGAGTGCCGAGCCGCCAGGCCCAGGAAGCTCTAGGACAGACAGGCAGATGGCGCTCCCAGGACAGCCTCTGCCTCCCCTTGGTGGGGCTGCAGCCTCATGAAGAAAGAAGGGAAAGGAGGAGAGAAGAGGGAGGAGGAAGACAGGGAGACCTCAGGAAGGCCTGTGGTCTGGGGTGTGACGGTGGGGAGCTGTGGGGGCTGGGGAGGGTCACGGAGGCAGAACTGTCAGCCAAAGGCACCTGCAGAGGGTGCAGAGAAAGGGCGTGGCGTTCTCAGGGGCTGCCCCTTCCTGGCTCCACCATGCTAAGGCCTGGACTGACACAGCCTCCCGGCCTCCCGGCCCCCAGGAGCCCAGTGGCCCGTGGGGTCCTGGTGCAGCTGATGCCCCGTCACCTCCTCGTGCCCTGCCTGCCGGGGCCCTGCAGTGGAAGGGCACCCAGGCTCTGCCGACCAGGGGCCGTCACAGGGCATGCTCAACACTTGGTGCAGGGTCAAGCACGGGAGCTGGGGGCCTTGCGTGTGCATGTGGGAGGGTGGGGGGAGATGGGCTTCTCCCGTGGGTGCTGGAGGGTGGGGTCTGGGTCAGGGGCCTCTGTGACCGGCACCTGTGACCTCAGCAAGAGCTCTACAGCCCCAGAGGAATCTGAGGAAGACTCCCAATGTCCAGGAATCAGACAGGAGCCCAGGGGCCCCTCTGACGCCACCCCCACCCCGGTGCCGGGCGGGGGGGCCCTGTGGGGCCTGCTGAGAGGCCGCCATATGGTATGCAGAGAAGAATTCCAGACGGAAGCCACCGCACAGCCTCCACTCTGACCGCTGGCTCTGCATGGAGCTGAAGCCCAGCAGCTGGTCACACCCGTCTCTGTCCTTGTGACCCACCAAGCAGGTCACTGTGGCACGCAGCAGTGTACGTCGGCACAAAGGGCCTCCCATGTCCACACTACGGAACTCTGGTTTCTCTGGCTTTTGTTTTTCACCGGCTCACTCTTCCTCTCTGTGTGCACGCGTGTTAGTGCTCAGAGAACCAGACACCATAACCAGGCACAACCACAAACACATGCATGTGCACGTGCCATCTCAGGTCCGCAAGACCTCGAATGCGACAAGATGGAGGTGAAACAGACACGCTACACCTGCCCCGGGCGCTTGGCCAGGGTGCCTGTCAGGGAGGCTCCTCCTCTGGGGCCACCAGGTCACACTGAGAGCACCCTAAAGGCCCGGCCAGGCAGGGCCACAGCCAGCGGACACATCTACACCCCACGTCCCCCAGTGACTGGGCACAGCCGACCCTTCTCAGGTCTCACCACCCAAACTCTCCCAGTGGCTGCAGCAGGGCGTGGCGCTTGGAGCTGGGGCGGGGGTGCAGCCGAGGGGCAGTGGGTGCCTGTCGCCCGCTGAGCCGGGATGCGGGCCCGGGGTGCAGCGGGCTTTCAGAAGGAAAGCCCTGAGAGGCACTGACGGGTGCTTCCAGAAGGGAAACACCCCGAGTTTTACATGCCACCCCACCCTCCCCAGGAACAAGCACTGGCCAAACTGGACGCCAGATTCCCACGGCCCAGACCTGCGCCCTGGCTGACCGTGTCCTCACCCCAGGGCAGACTGTTGTCTCGAGAACCAGCGTGGCTTTGAGTGGCTTCACTGAGGACGGGGTCTGGGATTCACAAGCCACTTCTCACATCTTCATGGGCACCAGCCGAAGTCTCCCTTCATTTCTGAGACTGTCCCTCAGGGCCATGCACGCAGGGCCCTCAAGTTTACAAGACATTTCAAGGTGCAGAGCTTGGACCCCTGTGCCTGTCACCCGCGCCTGGGGTCCACTGCCCCGGGCCTGAGGGACCGGCTCCCACGACAAGCGCTGACACCTGCTGGCCGTACAGGGGAAAGACAGTTTGGTGCTGAGATTCCAGAACAGCCCACCAGAGGGGCCACCTGAGCTGGTAGAGAAACCAGAGACACACGTGCCTCTAAGGCCAAAGCAAGGAGGCAGAAGATGGCCTTCACCAGTGTTGGGAAACAGCCACTCAGGCGGGGACACAGCCGGTGGCCAGCTGTGGCTGAGGTGTCAGGTCATGGGCCATCCTCTCATGCTCTCTGAGCTGCCTTTGCTGACCACGGCACAATGGCTGACCACACAGGCATGAGCCCAGGCTGCCCGAAGACTCAGCCCACCCACCCGCCCCTGCCCCTCCTTTTAAAATACAGTTGTAAGCGGCCCACTCTCCTGTGCCGTGTGTGACCTGGTGGGGCGCAGCTGGCTCCACGCCGGCCCCTTCGGGCCCCCAGGCACCCATGTGCTTCCTTTGTACAGACACATGTGGACTGAATGTGAACACGCCATGACATACATGCACTTGGACCCACCTCTCAGCTTCTGCAGACGCAGAGCCACTGAGGTTGCTTGTGAATGTCACCTGTGTCCCCCTGCACGGGCGTTCAGTCCCACCGCAAACATTCTCACGAAAAGTTCACGAAATTTCCAGAGAAGTGGGTCGGGCACAGGAAGGAAAGCGAGCGCCTGGGGGAAGCATTTCATGTGTCGAGCTTTGTGGAGTGACAGCTTCAACACGAAACCGAAGGAAACATAAGCAAGGCGTCGCCTCGAAGCACTGGCCCCTCCTCCCCAGGCACCCGTGGGTTCCCCTCTGCTTCCTGCCTCTGGCAAACTGCTCGTTTTGGCCTCTGAAAGCAGCTCCAAGGGCCTAGATTGAGACTGTGGATGGCACTGGCCTCACAAAACAAGTTGGGCCACGTGCCCTTCTGGGGGAGCACATCCGTTCTCCTTTAGATGCCGGTGAGAGCCCTCCTGGGTGACCACCTGGCCACCCACCTGCTGCAGGGCCTTCAGCTGGTCCCCAGTGCTGGCCGGAAGGTGGGGCCACACTGCCTGGGCAGGCAGGTGTTCCTGGGACCTTCCGGCTGCCTGGCCCTGCTCTTGCCTGTGTACCCAAAAGGCCTGTCCTCGCTGCCCCAGGACCCAGCTGGGCTCCAGCCAGACCCAGCCCACTCGAATCAGCTGCCAGCCGCGGTCGCTCTGGGACGGGGTGTGCGGGTGGACGGGGACAGTGCCCTGTGTTTGCGTCCTTCGAAATGCTGAGCTACAGACCAATGGGCCTGTGGGAAAAGCCCCGTCGCCGGTGGCCCGCCCACCTGGCACCAGCAGGTGCAGCCCTGCCCCCCACACCTCCCCAGTCGGGTCCGACACCCTGTGAAGAAAGGCGGTGGCCTAACCGCCATGGTCTGTGCACCAAGCGTCATCTACAGCCCTCGAACCCTGAAGGAAGCTGTTCACTTGGCAGACAGATGGCCCTGCTGGGTGCCAGGCGGAGATGCAATGCCGACACCAACCCAGTGGGCAGCACAGTGCGTCCCTACTGCTGCCCTGGTGATAGTTACCCTCACGCTCGAGGACGGGGCATGTGACCCGGGAGAGGAGGCGGGCTGCTTACCGTGGGCCGCTCTGCACAGACCGCCGGCGCCGCCGGTCTGCGGCCCGGGAAGGCTGAACGCTGGGTGGTGCGGGGGTGTGGTCACTGGAAAAGACAGCAGAGCGGGCGGTGGCCCCGGGGTCCTCCCCGAGGGCAGGCCGGGGACTCGAGGGGCGAGCTCCGCTTCTCCCTCACCGTATGGGGTCTGTGGGGACACTGGGAAGGCTGGCGTGGGCGGCGTGGACTCACTGCTGCTGGTCTTGCTCGGAGAGAAGACCCCACCGTCAGCCCCATCCAGGTCTGGGGGATACCCAGCCAGCACCGTCTGAAAGAGACACGGGGGGTCAGGGGAAGGCCGCCCCCAAGTCAGCGCACTCAGCAAGGGGACAGGGAGCACAGCAGCTGCCCACGCAGAGGGCAGGCGAGGAACCCTCTCGAGCTGCCCGCGTGGCAGGTGCGTGAAAACGTCCCACGCGTGGAACGCGGGTGGAGGCAGGCGGGCAGGACAGCTCCAGACGCTTGCGTCGCGTTCGCTCCTGCTAGGACCCAGAGAGAGTCTTTTCTGGTTTGTTCCGGGTCCCCACTCCCCAACCCTGAGAGTAAGCGAAACCCGAATTTGAAAGAGCTCCTGGTGTGGGGTTCGCTGGCCAGACTTCAGTTCTGGGTGGTAGCTTTCACTGTGCTTCCTGGCAGGTGCTGGCTCTGTGATGTCCCCCCAGGGCCCCTCGCCCAGGAGGCCCCATGTCCACACTGACCCCTGCCTCCAGCTTCCCTCCGTGGTCCCTGAAGGCTGGATGGCGGCTGGGCTGCCTAGTGACTTTGGGAATTTTGATCCCCTCTGCTGCTGCCGACCTCCCGCTGACCTCCCTCCCGCAATCTGTGACCTCACATGTGTCTGAGGCTCCGCTCCTTAGCCCTCCCTGCCCAAGGTCCGAGCAGAGGCCCAGGTGGCCATGTGGCCTAGAGTCGCCCAGACTGAGCAGACCACACACCTGCCTCTCAGGTAGAGCCCTGTCTGCACGATGGCGGGGACAGGGGCCCTGCTCTCGGGGACGGGACTCTGGACAGGCATGGCCGTACCTCTTTGGCATCATTTGGAGACAGGAAAGGCACCAGGCTCGGAGCCTGCTCCGCACCCGTGGGTTTCCCCCACCCACACCTGGAGAAGGCTGGCTGCCCCCCAGCGTCGTTGTCATACTGCCCGAGGCTCAGCTTCCGGAACCTTCTGCGCAGTGGCTCATCCCCCAAGGGGCCTGTGAGGAGAGACACGTGGGGCTGCCTCTGGAATTTCTCTGGGACACCCTGGACTTCCGGTTCTGCTCAGGCTGCACAGGCCGGTGTGCCCCTCTGAAACACCAGCTCACCTGGCTGCGAGGGGCCCCGGCCGGGGTCTTCTCCTCGTTCCTGCAGGCGGCCGCTTGCCCGGAGCCCACCTCCCATGCCGTCTGGGGCCACAGGGCCATCGGCCTGGCCGCCTGGCGTGCTCAAGTGGGTGGGGAGGGGCTCGAAGGTGGGGTCCAGCTCCAAGATCAGCCTGTTGAGCTGCTCGATGGACTGGTCAATGTCCAGAGTGGGAGAGCCTGGGGAGGGGTCTGGGCTGGGCCCCGGGCCTGTGCCATTCACGATGCTGGCATCTAGGAACCTTGCTTTCGACACTTTGTTGGGAGAAGGCCGCTGGGTGTCAGGAGGAAGTGACCCGGGGCCTATGCCCCTCTGTGTGGGCATCCTGCTGCTTGCCCCCTGGGTGGGGGTGACCGGGAGCCTGGGAAGGGCCTGTGCCAGGCGGGAACTGTCCACTGGGCCGCGGCCGATGAGCCTGGCCTCCCCGTCCAGGGCAAAGCCGTACTGGTGGGCGGCCACCATCTGCTGCTGGCGCACCCAGGTCTGCGTGGAGTAGCCGCTCTGCTCGTAGGCCGGAGTCTGCGTGGACATGCAGGGCGCCCCGAGCACCGGCTGCGGCTGTTTGGGCTCTCGGCTCCCGAAAGTCTCCCGCTCATAAGGAGTCCCCACACTGAGGCCCAGGTCTGGGGCCAGAACGCCGTGTGGGTCTTCCCCGGTGCTGCTGCCAAACCCCTCGGACAGGAGCGAGTTGTGGCTGCTCTGGGGGCAGGCAAAGGGGCCCGAGGGGGCCGACGGGGGCCCCTCAGAGGAGGACAAGGTCCCGACGCTACCCGCGCTGCGCAGGTCATGGCCCGGCACCTCGTCATCCAGGATGTCCGTCTCCCGGTCCTTGGGCGCAGCGTCTCCGTTCACGTGCACCTGTGCCGGCACCACGTGGCGTGTCCCGCCGAACTTGCTGTGAGCCTCAGTCATATCCTTCAGGGGGCTTCCGGAATCTTCTAGGCCAAAGCCGCTGAGCAGCTGATCCAACTCGGCCTTCTCCTGGGCGCTCAGGCCCCTCTTGGGCCCCAGAGCCAGGTGCTCCTCGGTCCTGTCTGTCCTCGCAGAGGCGGTGGAGTGGCCGGAGTCGCTGCTGACTGACAGGGTGTGGTCGCTGTGGTCGGGGCTGCTGGCGGTGGGGGCCGCCGGGGCCCCGCCTGCGACGCTGGGGTCTGAGGCGCTCTTCTTCCTCACCTTGGCGTAAAGGCTGCCATCGACTGGGCCCTGAGTGTGTGGCACTGCAGGGTGAGGATGGGAGAAGATGGTCAGTCACGGGTGACAGGGCTTCGGGTCCTCGGGATGGCCTGGCCCGGTCAACGCTAGGATGTTACTTCATAACAGACAATTCACAGGAATTAGGGGCCAACACGCCTCTAGGATCCCCCAATTCTGTGTGCCCGAACACAACAAAAAGGAATCTCGGGACCAGCTGTGGCCTTCCCATGGTGTCACACAGAGCTGATCGCTGGGGGCCTCGGGCCGTGAGGGCACTTGGGTGGTTCTATCTCGGTCTGAACGCTGACCTCACTCAGTGAGTAAACCCCTGGGACCCAAGAAGAAACCACGAATGTGGCTCAGGCCAGGCAGCAAGTGCTTCTGAACCAGCCACTCGGACGACACGCACACCTGCTCAGGCCTGAGTGTGTCACTCACGGAAAGAGGAAGGGCAGGGACGGGCGCTGGGTCCTCCTGTTACCGTGGTGTCTCTGGGCCAGAAGGGGCCCCAATGCGGGCGGGGCAGGGCTCTGACACCGAACCAGCCCCCCGCGCCACGCCTCCCGCTGCTGACGGGCAGGGAGGCACATCGAGGGGGGAGCAGCCGGCTGGGGCTCCTCCTGCCGCTCCGCAGGGCAGGGGGCGGGGCATACGGAGTCTCTGCCCTGCGGGAATCACAGTCCCCACGCCACCAAGGGGGTCACACAGCGCCAGGCCCAGGCAGGCAGCCAGAGGACAGGCCACAGCGGTGGCCGGGGAGCTGGAGAACCCAACAGATTTCCTGCTGTGAAGACTATGTGTGCGTGACTTCCACGTGCCACTCGCGTGCCCTGCTGTCCCCCCAGCTCCTGAAAGGGCTCCTCGTCCCAGGCAGAGCCGGGTGTTTTGCGGCTGCTGGGTGGACGGTGGCAGTTCCCCGTCCCTTCCCTGGGCCTAAGCGGGTGCTGGCAGCTGTGCACTCTGTCTCTGCCATCAGTGTCAATCAGCCCGCGCCCCTGTGCCCAGAGCCCTACCCCCCCCTCAGGGGACGGGCTGCTTTTCCCCCCCTGACCCTCGGACTGCTGACGGTCACCGCTGTCCCCCAAGCAGCCCCGAGTGGTCACTCTCCAGATGACTCTGTCATTGGGCCACCCAGCTACACCATTCGGCGCATCAAAATGTCCCCCCAAGTGGAGGCATGGATGGGAACAGTTCTCACACCCCCCCACGGCCACAGAGGGCGCCCGCAACCGCTCCCTCCTAGGGGAAGTGCCCAGGACAAGAGGGAGGGGACGCCTTCACCTGCCCTGGTGTCCAGCGCTCCGAGAGGACGCAGCCCCACAGGCCCGACTCCACCTGGCGCCAGGGTGTGCATCAGGGACCTGCAGGGACCCTGCAGAAGGAAGGGTCCTTCTTGCAGAATGGAGACCGAACCCCTGGGACTGCGCACTCGGCAGAGTGAGTGCTGCCGCCAATCATGGCTCCAGGTGAACCAGAGCTATGCCGCCACGCGCTGGATCTCCTGGGCCTGGGGTTGGGCCCCTGAGACCACTTGACCCCTTGTTCCTCTGCCGTGCGTGTTCCTGGTGGCCTGTTCTGCAACTTTGGAGGCCCTGCAGGGCGGCAGAGCCCACCAGTCGCTGCCCACAGCAGGTGAACCGTGCCCTCTGGCAGCACATTGTACAGACACACCTGACCACCCCTGACCCCATAGAGCACACCTGTGTGGACGAACGCACGACGGACCAGATGCGCAGGGGACCGAGCCCGCCCTGCCGGCGCTGCTCCCCCCACCCTCCGGCTCTGCCCTGACCTGCCAGGACCCCTGGACGGCAGCCATGTCCCCAGGGTGACTGTCCTGGCCCTGTGTGCCTCCCTTGAGGCAGAAGCTCTCTGGCCTTTTCCTTTCAAACAACCTTTTTCTGTTCTGGTTTTCTGAACTCAACCATCTAAGGAGAAGAGGTCAGTGCCTCTGATGGGAGGCTGGGCACTGCACGTCCCGCAGATTCTGGTGGCGCAGCTGAGAGCTGTCACCCGAGAGAGACTGAGCTGCATGTCTTCACTTTCCTTCTAGGTTTTTCTGGCACAATCTACCTGGGCTGCAGCCTGGCTTGGCCTCAGCCGGCCGACCTGGCGGAGTTACTGGATCCACGGTGCCTCACCTTCCTTATCTACAAAGAAGTCATCTACCCTGGGGTTGTCCCCAAAGGCTGCCCAGGGCATTCTGTGCATCCAAGGACCCAGACACTGGGGAACAGGAATGGACTTCTAAATACTCGAGTTCTGGGAGCCGCTGTGCCGACTCAGACGGTCCCAGGCCCAGACACCACGCAGTCCGTGTCTGTCCTTTGCATCGGGGCTCAGCCACTACACGGGTCTGCTCTCACTGGGCCCCTCCTCACCGGTGCTCATCACAGACTCCCCTGCATTTGGATCAGATTAATCCGCTACAGAGAGGACCCAGGGCTGCCTGCACTTGGGCTTTTGAGAATCTCGCCTTTAAGTGGCAACACTGGACCCTGGGTGACAGAGGACAGGAGCCCTTTGCTCCACCTTCTCTTTATTCTTTTTTGGGGGGGAAGGAAGACAGTGATAAGCCACTAAGTCCCCAAGGGCGTGAGCACAGCCTGCACCCCTGGACAGACAAGCCCACTGCCCCCCCCCCCGGAGTTCTGGGAACACCGTACTGCATGCAGCTTCCCTTCCCCTGAGGGTGCAGCCGGGGCCCCAACCTGAAGGAAAGGACACAGAGCCCCCGGCGCCGCGAGCACTGGCACCAGCATGCCTGCCTGCCGGGGGGGCCACTGAGAACCCCTGCCTTTGGAGCTGAGCTGAGCTCTTGGCAAATGTTTTCCAGAGACAAGCAGACTGAATTCTTGGAGGAACACAGACCAGGAGGAAAAAAAAGGAAGCGGAGGAGTAGGGAGTTCCGAGCAGGAACAGACGTCTCCCAGGCAGGGACACGCCTCATCGCGGGACCCAGCTCTGGGGAGGCTCCGGGTGCTCCCAGCGGCCCTGGGCATGGCTCCCGAATGTGGCGGGGATTTGGCACAGGCGCTGGACAGCCAGTCCTGGACGAGGTGACTGCCCAGGCAGCCCACACAATCGTGACTGGGGCCAGCACGGCTCCTGTCCCTGGCCCCACATGTCCAGGGCACTGCCCAGGCTGTGCAAACCGTGTAGCCGGGTCCTTTTGGACACGCCTCAGTCAGACATTCCAGCCCTGGAGCAGAATCAGCGGCACTGCTGGCCTGAGATCTGACCGCCCCAGGCCTGCACGTCCCTCCTTCCACTGGTGGGGCCTGGGTCTGCGGTCACTCAGCTCCTGCCTGCCCCACCCGCCTCTGGCATGCCTCCTGCCCTCGGGGCGCTCAGCCTGCCGCGCAGCTCTTCCTGCGTTTGCAGAAGCCACACACACGCACACGCACACAGGCATGCCCCCTGCTTACCTTCTGTCTCCACCACCCAACAGCTCCTTCAGTCCAGGACTGTGCGACCCGATTTTTCGGGAAGCGAAGAAGCATCCTGGGTTGGGTGTGCCCCCCCCCGCCCTACCCCACCCCCTGAGAGCACAGAAGGTGGAGGACCTTGTTGGCTGGGAGCAGGGGATGAGGACTCCGCCAAAAAGGCCAGCGTGGCGTAAACACAGGGGTGGGGCTTGCTGCCGTCAGGTTCGCTGGAGTCTGGACTCGGAGGCCCAGGAGGCGAAGGAAGGACCCCCGGGGCAGGGCCGGCAGCCGCAGTCCACCCCACTAGGTCCACAGGCCACAGGGACTGTGTCCACTGCGTGCTCAGAGCCTCGGTGGGGCCTCTCCGTCTCCTCCCCCTGCTGCTGGGCCCTTCACGCTCCTCAGGGCGGCCGTCCGGACGAGTGGTGCTCGGTGTCTCCTGCATAACCGCTTCCCACCTCCCTTCTCCCTGAACTCAGGGCCACATGCTCCACGCCCCCCCCACACGTAGTCTGGCATCTTCAATGCCCTGCACACCTTCCACGGAAAGGATGTGTGGCAGGCCTGTCCTGGTGACAGACGAGGGCGGAGGACCAGGCACCTGCCTCAGTGGGAGGAGGGCACATGGCGGGGGCACTGGCAAGTGCGTCCTAGCCCACTGTGCTTGGGCTTCTGGCTCTGAGTATCAAATGTTTAATCGACGTGGGTGCTTTCCGGTGCTGTGGACGCTGCCAGGAAGGCTGCGCCGGACTTGGCCGAAGTGAACCTGCAGTGAGGAGCCCGCAGCCTGCTTCCCACAGGCAGGGACAGAAAGGGTCTCCACAGAGGACACGGCAGGCAGCTCAGCCATCGTCCCCAGCGAGTGTCCCTGCCAGGAGGGACGTGAGAGTGGTGAAGGGTGGGACGGAGCGCAGCTGCAGGACCCCACCCAGGACGGCAGGGATTCGGGAGAGCCCGGGGCCCTGGCCACAGCGGGGGTGGAGGCGGGAAGAGAAAGGCAGCGTCTGCCCCAGTCATGCTTGCTGGGGCCTGACCTCTGGGGCAGAGGTGCCCCTGCACCCTTGTGCAAGGACCCAAACTGGGGACCATTGGCCAGCTAAGGGGACAGCTAAGGGAATTGGGAAGGGGCTCACCAAGCCACTTGGCCTCACACCTCCAGGGGTGAGGAGTGGGAGGAGATTTGGAAGGAGATGTCTTCTATCAAGGGACACGGGGCACCTTGTGGGAGGTGGCAGCCCGGAGCCCAACAAAACTGAGGGTCTGCAGGGCTTGGGTGGCCGTGAAGGTGGCTTTGCAGTGACAGTGAGAATGCAGGACAGATCACATGCGCTTTGGGGACCCTCTGCTGGGACCCAGTGTGCTCGAGGACCCGGGCGTTTCAGAGGCAGGCGGGTGACCACGCAGAGAGGTCACGCAGCACCTAGAAGCCACACCCATGCTGGCCTGGACCGTCCTTGGCCTCAAAAATGCTGCCAGAAGCCCAAGAGGAATGAGGAGCTTGGCACCATTAGTGACCCCAGTGTGGGCCACCGTTGTCCCTTCCAGTCGCTAGAAGTGCATGGGCCTCAGAGATGGGCATGGTCGCTGCCCCCCTAGACACAGGTTCCTGGCTACGTGACGTTGGGAGGGAGTTTGGGGGACAGACACGCGTTGACTGTCTCTCCCTCCCATCGGGGAAGAGAGATACCACCGGAGATCTCACCGGCCTGGAGGCGCAGTGAGCCCCGACTGCCGTCAGCTGCAGCGGCCCCTCCCGTGAGCCCGGCAGACGCGGCCTCCCCTGCTTCACGGCGGCCGGAGCCAGACCGTGGGCTCCAAGGGCGAGCAGAGCAGGGGCCTCCGAAAGAGGGACTTCCGGAAACAGACATGAGGCTGCGGAAACGGCGGGACTGCAGGGCGACAGGCAGACAGACGAAGGCCAAACGAACGCCTGCCGCCCAGGGGGCCGGGGCGAAGGAAGGGACGGGAGGTGCGAGCCAGTCCCTAGCAAGGCGCAGCTGTGACATCAGGCAGGGAAGCTCCCAGATGACAGCGTCACTGACCGCCACCACCCGTGACAACTCTGCCAAGAGCCAGACTGGCCCCGACGTCCCAGGCCTGGTCTCGGAAGCACCCCAGACTCCCAGGGCAGGGCGCCCCCCCTCCACAGAGACAGTGGGGTTCCTGGCACCGCAGGGACACTTCTGGTACAGACATGTCACCACGGCAAGACAGCCCGACACACCTTCGCCGTCGGCACTCAGGTTCTCGTAGGAGTCCCAGCGGATCAGCGGGTCAGCCGTGTTGAAGTCCACGCTCACCCCGCGGTCATTGCGCAGATGCTCGCAGCCTGCACGGGGGCGGGGACACGAGGTGTCAGTCTGGCCCAGCCGGAGGCGCGCGCTCGTGGCTGAGCCCAGGGAGCCTGAAAGGCGAGTGCGGCCCTCCCTTCCCTGCAGGGCTCCGGGCTCCGAGGGCCAGGTCCCCACAGCGCCACCTGCCAACATCCCCAGAGCCTGCCCAGCCTCGGGGCAGCTTGGAGCCCACGAGCCTGGTGCTCAGCCGCCTGCCTCTTGTGACTTTGAGCTTATTTCACACAGTGAGGAAAACTGAGTCAGGCCCTGGCTGGCGTGGCTCAGTGGATTGAGCGTCGATCTGTGAACCAAAAGTTTTCCATTTCGATTCCTAGTCAGGGCGCTTGCCTGGGTTGTGGGCCAGGTCCCAGTAGGGGCGCATGAGAGGCAACCACACATTGATGTTTCCCTCCCTCTCTTTCTCCCTCCCTCCCCATTTCTCTCAAAATAAATATATAAAATCTTAAGGAAAAAAACCCTGAGTTAGGATGTTTGGGCACAGGGATTCCGGGGGCAGAAATGAGCCACAAGCCTTGATGATAAAGGGCCGACGCCTCTCTCAAAGTGTTTTCAGAAAAAAGGAGACCTATTTTAAACACGAATGTTTGCAGACTACAGAAGTTCTAATGGTCTTCAGGCACATCCGATTGTTTGTTAAGCAGAAGAGTAAACATTTGGCGTCTTGTCCAGGAGAAGGAGGGACACAACTTCAGGGACCGAGGCCTGGCCCTGTCCTCCCTGTCCTGTGGTGAAAAACCTCCAATCCTGGGTGAAGGCGGGAGACAGGACAGAGCCCCTGACGCACCGCCACCACCCTGGCCAGCGTCCGCCCTGACCCACCTGGAATCCGCTCGGGGGTGGCGGAGAACACCAACTCGACCTTCCCGTTGGCAGGAAAGCGGCCATCTGCAACAGAAGTCCCTGTCAGCCCTTGAGGAGGCGGGAGCCCTCACAGCAGGGACAGACAGTGTCCCTGTGGGCGGACGGCGTCCCCATGCAGAGAAATGTCGGTGGTTCACTGTCCCTCTAGCAAGTTTTTTTGCTGGATTGACTGTCAGTCTTTCCTGAGACTGGTCATCATTTTTTCGGCCTGGGTAAGGAGCGGGCTGCGGAGGGGAGGGGCAGGAAGTACGGGGAATCACGGGGGCCCTCACCACTGCAGGCACCGTCCAGGTCCTCCTTCCCGAACACGAGGTGGTGGCCCTGCACGGCCCCCGTGTGGAACTGCAGCCGGAACACGACGTCTCGGGTGGCGGAGCGGTACTTCTTGTGGTAGCATTTCACCTGTGGCGGAGACAAGGTGACAGCTGCAGGGACGGCCCCCCTCGGGCTGACTCCGAGGTGGGCACACAGGTCGGCTCTCAGGGCAGGGGCTGCTGGGACCGCGCGACTGGAGCAGGGCGGGCCAGAACGGCAGTGCCCCTTGCGGCTAGTCGTCCCCCCGTTCCAGGCTGTCTGTGGCTGTGCCTGCTGTCACAGTCTGCAGCCCCCCAACAGGCCACACCAATACTGCAGACCACCGGAAGGGCGGCTCCTTGGGGAACAAGTGCTGAACGGAACCCTGTGGCTCTTCTCTAAACCTGAACGGCAGACTGCGAGGATGGTTTTCTGTCCCCTGTTCATAAGAAAAATGGGTGCCGTGACCGCCTGTACCACGCTGCCTGCTTTTGCATGCTATAATTTAGGGACAGATGGGGTGGGGGGAGCGAGAGAGACACAGAGAGAGAGAGGACGACAGCAGAGGGTGGGGCAGAGAGATGGGGAGGCCAGCCAGGCTGCGTGAACACCCAGGGGTGGTCACGAGAGACCAGCCTCAGAATCACCAGGGATGCTGTTGAACTCGGGCCCCTTCTGGGGCTCCCGGGGGTCCCTGTCCCAGCCAAGCAGAGCATGATGGGGCACCCTCCCTGGTGGGGAACAGGAGCAGGGGGCCAGGGGCTTTCAGAAGCAGTGATCTTCCTACAAGACTCGCCCTGGAGAAACGAGCTTATGACGCTGTGCGGTCACAGAGGTCCGTGAGAGGGGCTGTCCCCCTGGGCCTACCTCTGGGCCATCGGCCAGGGCTCGAACGAATGGACGGGGTGCCCCATGGTGATGAACGTGTGGAGCCGTCACCAAGGACCTACACCCGGGCCCCGGCTGGCGCCCTGGTCCAGGGCACCCACAGCCACAGAACGAGGGTTCGGCGGAGGTGCGACGACCCCCACTCGCTTACCTCCCTCACCCTCTGGGTGCCTCTCGCGCCCCACAGGGCCCCTGTTCGGTGAGGCCCCCACCCCGTGCCGCGAAGGAGACCCCACATGGAGGTCCTCCGGCCCCATCTGCACGGGGTGAAGGGATGCGCACCCACGCCTGCTGCCCCCACTGGTGCCTGGGATGTGGGGCCCCAGGGGGCGATGGCAGGAGCAGGAAGTGAAGTCCAGGCTCGTGGCCACGCAGCTCCCAAAACTTTACAAACACCAAGTAAAACAGAGGCTTTAAAAAACGACAGGCTGAGAGGAGACAGCCCCGGGGCAGGTCCCACGAGAGGGGCCCTGGAGAGCCGGCATGGCGGGACACCGCCCTGCAGCCCTTTCCTGCTGGGTTGCCCAGGGTTCCCTGGGCTCACGGGCTCCCGGCCTGTCACCGGTGCCCAGCGTGGCTTCTCACAGCGGAGTCACTCATGATCCCATGGCCAGCCTGGACGCATGCCCACCGTCCCAGCCTCACTCCCCAGCATGAGCTCGCCTGCCTGTGCCCCGGAGTAAACCCCGTGCTCTCAGGGACTGAGGCCTGCGTGTCCCCTGCACCTCGGTTTCCCCCAGGTGACATACATGCACACACACACTGGCTGCACTCCTGTGTGATGGAATTCTGACTCAGGTGACACTGACCTCGGTTTCCCCCAGGTGACATACATGCACACACACACTGGCTGCACTCCTGTGTGATGGAATTCTGACTCAGGTGACACTGATCTGGGAGGCAGCCTGGCTGTGCAGAGGAATTTTTCCTTCAAACCTCTGTCAGCGACTGAAGAGCGCTCAGGCCAGGGGGTCGAGGTTTGGGGTTGAGGTTTGGGAATGAGCCCTGGGCTACCTGCCCTAGAGTGCCCAGGGCTGCTCCCTCCACAGGTCGGCTGCCACCACAGGAGGGGCTGAGGCCCAGCCAGGTCCGGGAGACTGGGGACAGTGTGGGAGACATACACACAGACGTGCAGGATGAGGCGGGAGCGGCCGGGGCCCTACAACAACCTGCCTTGGAGCAAAGTGCAGAGCCAGAGGGAAGGACCCGCTGCCGCCCTGGTCCCACATGAGGGCCTCGAGGGAGACCACACACAAAGGCGCTATTTGTTCGCACAGACGCCTGGGGGAGGCGGCCCTCTGCCTGGGGTCTGGTCAAGGAGCCCCTCGGCCTGGAGCACAAGCTGCAGTGGCCACAGCAGGGGCAGCAAGACCAGGCAGGCAGGACAGGGTGTGTTTACCGGGCGAGCGGGCTCTGGACGCCTGCCAGGCTGCAACGGGCCTGCCCTGCACATTCCTCCCCGGGTTACATAACCCTGGCGTGTTTACTGAGCACCTGAAGCCCAGCCCTTCCCGAGGGCGGACTGCAGGCCGACCTTCACGCAGGCTCACTGAGGTGGAGGGTCCTGTGTGCAGGGGAGGGGGCGTGGGGAGAGCCGAGCTTCGAGGGGGCACGTGGGTGCTGCCACCCTGCCTCCCAGCACTGACGCCTCCACTGGCCCTGAGGGGAGGACAACAAGCACAGCCCCACCCCCCCCAGTAACTTTCCAAGCTGGTCACAGTGGACATGGCCGCACCCACGTCAGGGCACAGCAGAGGTACCTGCACGCAAGGCAAACTCTTAGCAAAGCCACGAAGGGGAAGCCAGAGAGGACTGGAGGCCGCAGGGGAGGCCCGAGACTAAGGGCGCCAGGCAGCCCTGGGGCCACTGCCCACCCTGAGCCTGGTGCAATGCCAACATGGCACAGAGGGGGCCAGGCCCTGCAGTGGCAGGTGGAGCTCTAGCAGCCTCGCCTGCAGCTGGGGATCTTTTCCGAGGTAGAACTGTTGCCAAGTCCTTGATGAGAAATGAGAGGCTGAGCATCTGAACCTTCACACAGAACAGGCCCTGAGCCTCCTTCTGCACCAGCCGCCTTCCCAGTGCCGCGTCCTCTGGCTTGCAGCATGGCACCGGGCTACCCACTAAACCTGGGGCAGCAGCACAGGTGTGGCTGGCAGGTCATGGCCACCAGGAGTGGCTGGACGGGGTCTGGGTAGCAGCGTCCTGCCTCTCAGAGGCTTAGCAGACCAGGCCCACCCCTAGCAGGGGACATGCCCCACCACTCTCCCTAGGACCTCTGCCAACATCGGAGAACATTCCTGGTGGTTTTTCCTTGTGGAGCCCCAAGGTCATTTCCAGGAGGAACCACAGCCCTGGAATTCCAAGTCGCCCCACTCCAGTCCTGTCCCCCGACCTAGGACCCTGCAGCTCACCCCCTGGGGCAGCTACACCAGGCTCCCCTTGCCCCACAGACCCGCCTGCAGCTCCCCAGCCGCTGGAGCCCGAGCTCCCAGGAGCGGGGTCTGTGCGGGACCCAGGGGCCTGCAAACACACACCACGTGATGTCGGGACAGACCCCATCAGTGCTGCCAGCTGATGGGGCGGAGGGTCGGGGCTGGGCACTCACCATGATGTCCCCCTTCAGGAGCTGGGCCGGCTCGATGGCAATGTAGATCCGACTCTGGTTTTCCGGGCCGATGTTGCTTTGGAAAAAGGAGATGCGTCGTTACGTCCCCCCAGGGTTTACGGGAAGAACACGTTCCCAGAAAAGTACCCCAAGAGCTGCAAACTCGGGAGTTACACAGAAGCCCCAAGGGGCCCGGGGTGCAGCTCCTGAGACAGCCCGTGGAAGTGAGTCGGAAAAAGTGAAAGCTGCCGGGCTGGCCCGGTGCTGAGGACATTGGCCACCAGGGGCCACTTGGCCAAGGGCTCTGTGGTCAGCAGGGGGATGGCTGTCACCCTGGACCTCGCATTGTGAGCCCAGAAACGTGACAGAGGCTCCGAGTGGTCACGCGGTGGGGAGAACGCTCTGTACTTTTGCTCATTTTCCATTTTTGAACATAAAATGCTTAGAGGCCCAACGCCGAACAAGCCAAGAAACTCGTACAAGTTCTGAAATTCGAAGGAGCAAAAGGCCCACCGTAAAGGACCCTGTCGCAGGGCTGGACGTGTTTCTTTCCAGATGGCATGTGGCTCCCTCCACCCTCAACCCCATGGACGTCCCTCGGGGACACCGTGACAGACAGCTGGTCAGTGCGACAGTAGTGAAGCCGGGCTGAGATGCAGGGCCCCCACCCACGGAGCGCTGGTCCGGGACTCCCCACTTTGCCCCTTGCTCCACCCACGGGCAAGCTGCCCTGCACCACTGCCTGCCTCCCACCCAGGAGGCCGACACACTTACTAGATCCCAGACGTGTGCACGGGCTGCATGGCCTGGTACAGCTTGAGGAAGGGCCGGCACGCTGGGAGAGCAAGGGAGGGGCGTGAGATAGGAGCCCTGAGCTGCCGTCCAGCACAGGGAAGCAGCTTCCGAGCGCACAGCAGCGGAAGGGACACCGGGGTCCCTCACAGTCCTGCCCCTGATGAGCAAAGCAGCCTGCCCCACACAGGCGGCTCTGTCCAGTCAGGGACGGAGAGGGCCCAGGCCTCTCTGGGTGGACAGCACGCCTGCCCAGTGTAAAAACAGCACCCTGACACGGCCATGTGGGACACTCACCTCCGCCGGCGTCAAAGTTGGGGGTGCCATGAAGGATGACGAAGTGCAGGAACAGGGGCGAGGTGTTCATCTTCACTGTCCCCGCCAGCAGCCCGCTCAGGAACTGGACGTACCTGCCAAGCACAGTCAGCTGAGCGCCAGGGGTCGCACCTCAGCTCCTGAACCCCAGCTGCCTCCCACATCCACGCCAACTGCTCGCCCTGACTGTGCACGCGTCTGCCAGAGAGACGCTGCTGCACCGGGAGGTTTCCTTGTGGGGACCTCGGATGGGGTGTGGCCCCACCATGAGCCCTGAGGCTGCCCCTCCTCCTGGCAAGCCTGGCTGCACACAGAGGGGAGCTGCGCGGTGCCCGCCATCCTGTGCAGGTCCAGCACCGAGTCTCCTGTGCCTGCGTGGAGCCCAGCAGAGGCAGGATGGGGCCCAGTCTGAGCCCCACCTCCAGCCACCAGCAGGCTCAGCCTCGCTTATGTTAAAAACAAGAAAAATCTGTGGTTTGCGCCTGCAATTCACACACTGGGGTCTGTCATTCTGGGCTGCTGACACTAACTGGAGAGGAGACTGAAAGTCAAGTTCAAAAACCCCATTGTCAGCCCATCCCTTTAGGGACAGGTTAGAAAACGCGGGCTTCCCTTGGATTCCTGCTGCAGCGTCTCCACAGTCCTGGGGGCAACAACCCCTCTGCTCTCTCAGCACAAACAGGAGAAACTTCCCAAAGTCGCCAGGTGGACAGAAACTCGGGGGAGCAGGTGGCTGGCCACAGCTGGGGTACTGGCCACCAGAGGGCTCCACACGCCTTCTTAGCCCCACTGTGTGCCGACCAGGGGTGGCTGGGTGACCTGTCCTCAGCCTTTAAGTCCCCTAGTAACACACACTGCAAACTTCAAGGCCGTCAGCTCTGGGATTCTGGGTGAAGGGAAGGGAGTTGAGGGCACCAGGGACCCTGAGCTGTCCCTGCCCTGGACAGCAGCCCCTCTGCTCTGGTGCTGGGCCACCCTGGTCGCCTCGGCCCTTCCAGCATGTGTACCCCATGGGCGCACAGTCATCTGCTTGAGTGGTTGGCTGTGGCCACCCTGGCAAGGCGCCCTTGAATCTCTGGGTGCCCTTGGCTCTCTGGGTACCCTGGGCTCGGCAAGCCCGTGGACATTTCCATGGGACCTGCAGGCTCCCAGCTGCAGAGACCGATTTCAGGCGAGCCCAAGCCTCCTTGGTGTTGCTGCCACAGTCCCTGGAATGGGTGTCTCTCCCGACCAGAGGCATCCAGCCTGGCTGCTCTGTGTCTGCTGTCCCCACGAGGGACCGCCCTGCTGCTCCCCGTGGGAGGGGTCCCTGCTGCACCTTCCAGCCCGCCCTCCTGTGCTGCCTGCAGTTTGCACACCAAAGCCCCACTCGCCTGCCGCCTGCCCAGGGGCTCGCCTACCGTTTCTGGGACGGCTGCATCAGGGCCGAGACTTTGTCATCATAGTACTTCTTCATCGCGAACCTGTCCAGGGCCTGGTCGGCGCTGGGGGGGGCAGGAGAGGCAGAGAGAGTGTCACGTCTCCTTGGACGCTGCTGGGGGATAGATGGACGCGCCCGCAAGGAGCTCTGTCTCTGCTACACCGCGGGACCCGCGTCAGCGTCTCCTCTCGGACCCCGACCCCCACAGATACACACTGAGACCGCAGTGGACACCGGGCGGCAGGGCCCAGTTCCTGCAGGACACGGCGGCCGCTCAGCTGTGCCCCACACATGGCTCCCAGGAGTCCCTGGTGGCCGGTCCCCACAGGCAGGCACCAGCCCGGACCCTGAACAGGGAGGCGGGTTTTGGGGGGCTCTGGGTGGGACCGAGGCAGACCCAAGCATCAGGATCACAGGGGACTGGACACGCCCACAGGCCACAGTAGTGGGCTCCCCACAAAACCCCAAAGGAGTGTCTGGGACTGGCAGGGGACAGTCAGAGTGCCGCCATGGGGAGGTAGGTCTACGAGCAGGCCCGGAGGGGTCAGAGCGCTGTGGCTGGGGAGGCGGACCGTCTGACCCTGAACAGATCGCAGCCCCCGGGAGCCGTCGGGCCTCTGTCCTGAGGGGGTGCTGTCGTCCGTGAGCCTCTTTCTCACGGCACATCTCCCTTTGCTGCGTTGGTGCAAGAATGTTCCTCCTGCCATGTCCAGAGGTTTCTGCTCTGGTTCTGGGGCAGCGTTGGTGACCAAGGCCAGAACAACACCTCCTGGGGACGACCCCCAGGGCCTGGGTCTGAGGAGCCCGTCCCAGGGACCGTTGGATGCTGCCAGCTTGTCATTGCGGTGGTGTCTGTGTGGGGTCAGCATAGGTCAATACAGTTCTGACAAAGCCTGGAAGCAACTTGGAGAGGCAGCACCTGGACGGCTTCACCGGCACCGATGTCCAATGTCCGTGGGGAAGGGGGTGGGCTGTGCAGCCCTGGATGAGACGCAGGAGAGTGCACACTCAGCAGCGAGGGTCACGAAGCGCCGGGCCTTCACTGTGCTGCTAAGAAGGGCCTATGGGGTCGCTCCTCCAGGTGTGGAGCACCGGCCCCCTCTCATGCATCCTCACAGCCGTGGACCAACAGATGCCGTGAGCACCCGCTTCGCAGGTGGACATGGAGTCGGGAGGTTCACGGAGACCACCTGGCCGTGCAGCGGAGGGGGCGAGCCTCGTCTGCCCAGGAAGGCTGCATTTGGAGTGCGTTTCGGCGATGCAGTAGAAAGCCGTCTGACTCCAGGCCTCGGAGAACTCCAGGCCGGCCCGGCACACGGCCCAGGCTCCCCACAGAGCTGTGGAGCTGTGCGCACACACGCGGAAACACAGGTGCTGTGCGGAGCCCACCAGGAACCTGGGCTCCGTCCAAATACCTCCGGCTCTATTGAGGGACCCGATGGGACCAAGACTGGCACAGACACAGGGCGCTTTATCCCCAAGAAGGGTCTGTCTTTCACAAGGGGGTTGGGTTTCCTCCCTGGCAGGCTCAAGTGCCCAGTTTGCTTCCAGAGAAAACACTTGGAAAGTCAGGTTTCACCCTCGATGTGGGTGAGGAAGGGGCTGTTAGCTCCATGAACGGGCTCAAGTTTCCTTCGGACAGAGCAGCTCCAGCCGCAGAGTGGCCATTGAGACACATTTCTCGCTAGATGTCCAGGTGAGTGCGTGTAGCCCTGGCATGTGCCCCGGGAGGCGTCCGTGTCCCGCAGCACGGCCCCTGCCAAAGCTGGGTTCCCGGGACTCCTGGGCCCGAACGCCCACCCCCTGGTCCCCGGCGTGCCCACGCTGCTCCTACCTGGCCGAGACATTGGTGAAGTGCATGTAGGAGGAGATGACAACTCCAATGCGCCCCTTCCCACCCTGTGAACACAGAAGAGGAGCCAGGTTCCCTCAGCTCCTGTGGCAGAGGGGGCTGTGCTGGAACAGCACTCACTCGGGGACAGGAGAACAGAGAGCGGTCTGGGAGAAGGGCCGGCAGTGCCGGCAGACCCCCGAGGGAACGGCTGCAGAGGCGGCCGGTGGGCTCACCGTGTCCCAGCAAGGCGGGGAAAGACTGTGCTTGGCAGGAGCCGTTTGCGCCTGGACAGAGCCCTGACCGCCCGGCCCGGGGCCCCAGGGCAAGGGCTCACCCTGCAGTGGATGACGACCACATGCTGGGGGTCGCAGTTCAGCCAGGACTCCTGGGCCTTGCAGATGGTGCACACCTTGTCCAGGGGCGGTGCGTGCAGCTCGGGCCAGCCCACGTCCAGGATCTGCAGGGGCGCAGCTCTCTCAGCCCCCGTCCCGGGCCCGGGGTGGGGTGGGCCCCAAGAGGACTGTCTCCATGACATGTTTTGCTCGAGGGTGCAGACCCGGCAGTGTGGGCCAGGAGAGGAAAAACAAGGACTCAGTCGCCCCAGGAGACGTCAGTCCCCAGTCTTATCTGCTGCCCTGAGCTGGCTGCAGATTCCAGGAAGGGCTCACTCCCAGGAGGCGCTGGGCTGAGAGTCAGGGGTGGGCCGATGGCTCCTGCACCCTCAGACCCTGTTTGGGACATTACAGCCTTTTCCCCAGGACCTCGGTGCAGATAACCCCTCAGGGCCCCCCGCCGGGGACACAGGTACTCCTGCGGGTGAGGGACGCCTCCTGGCCCAGTCAGTAGGAGGAAGAACAGTGGGTGTCCAGCACCAACCGGTCCTGAGTCATTTCCCCTTTTCCTCTCATTCAGGGCAGGGGTGGGGGTGGACAGGGAGGCAGAGCTCTATCTTACTATAGAAGCACTAGAAATAGGGTAAAATGATGGAGGGTTCCAAAAAGTGGCCGGGAAGCAGAAGTCACACAACCCTCACAACAGACAGCGGTGACGGGCCCCCCAGGCCTCTGGCACAGTCAGAGCTGGGACACTCGAGCCTCCGTCCACCCCTGTCCTGCCTCTGTCCACCAGCAAATGGGCAGCTCTCCAGGCTGCTGCCTCTCCATCCTGACAGCCATGGGCCTTAGGCACTGCCGCTGACACGCAGCCCAAAACACCTCCCCTCAGTCCCTCACAGCCAACACGGGGCGGAGGGGAGCCTGCGCACAGCGGGGTCAGGAGGGAGCCCGGGGCTGGGGGGACAGCGCCCTGTGTGGGTGGTGGCGGGTGAGGTGGCAGAGCCACCAGCACCCCGCGGCTGTGTGTGCGCCCTGGAGGGTGGGTGCACCTGGGGACCGCACTCCCGTTGGCTTCCCGGCCTGGGCGTCTCTCTCTGCACTGTTTTCACGATTTCCTTTGTGTCTATAGTTACTTTAAACTAAAAAAATTCGGTTTAAAAAGGAACCCGAGGACACGAACAGTTCCTGATGTCCACGGTCATGGGAGGAAAGACCTCAGGGGACGTCAGCGCCTGAGGGACCAGCTTCCCTGTGACACCCCTGGACTCGGAGCGCGGAGGGCCTACCTTGGGGTTCAGCCTCGCCAGGTCGTGTCTCTTTTCCGACAAGTTCAGCACCTGTGGGGGTGGGAGGAAGCTGTCAAGACAAGCCACTGTCCTGGGGACGGATGGCAAATGACGGCATTTTTACATGCAGGTGCCTCCAGGTGGATGACAGAGGACTGATGTGTGTGTCACTGTCATGAAACGAAAAACAGAAACATCCACCGGGTGGCCCGGCCGTGTCTGGGGGCCCTGGAGGCGCCCCGAGCCCACAGCCAATGGTCAGAGGACACCATTTGGATGCGGGGGGAGAGAGAAGTAGCCTGGGTCCTTTGTTCAGGGTGTTACAGGACACATGCACAATTTTTAAAAAGGTCCTTGTCCCCCAGAAAGGCAGGGACCTCCACCCTATGTTTCTGAACCCAGCGAGGCCCCACCCACCCAGAGGAAAGGGGAAGACCCGGACGGCAGCCCTGCTATTCAGGCCCTCGAGCTCCCCAAGTGGAGGGGACTCAGAATGGTCCCTTCCTCTGTGAGAAAGGAAGACACCCCTGAGACCCTGAGGACGGGCTGTGACGACCCCAGGGCCGCCCACGCACTGTCCCTCCTGTCATGGGGGCCAGGGAGCCGCTTCCACTCCACTCGGACGGCTGCAGTGAGTCAGCCGGGCGTCACCTGGTGCTGCAGGTTTAGTCATCCCAGGAGGCCGATAAGGATGACAATGCGGCCTTGTCGGCAAAGATTAGCAGCTCTGCTGCAGATAAGGAGGCCTCCGGGCGGTCAGGGGTGGGGGTGGAGTTTCACTGGGCCGCAATCCCACCGGGCAGCGGGGCCCCTCCACACGGTGGCGCCTGGGAGCATGCGAGGACGTGCTGAGGATCTGACTGAGGTGCGTTGCTGTCCCGGCAGCCCTGCCTGTGGAACGCCCACCCTGTCCTCGGCTGGCACCTCAGGAGGGAGCCAGCTGTCCCTGCCAGGTGGAGACCAGGACCCTCTATAGCACTGGAGGGTGAGCAGCAGCCCAAAAGTCACTCTGCCTCTGCTCGGCCCCCAAGTCCCAGGATCTGGTCACCGTGACCTGCAGGGACACCCTGCATGCACACTGCAGTACGTGAGTCCCCAGGACACTGGGCATGTCCAAGTTGCAGCGAACTAAGGGTCTTCTGGCTGCACCCATGCTCACTGTCCCCTTGCTGTCCCCATGCTCCGCGTCCCCACATTGTCCCCATGCTCATTGTCCTCTCACTGCCTCCTCGCCGTCCCCACACTCTGCTCTACTCACCAGGTAGTTGTCGCCATGCTTGGACCTCAGCATGCGCGTCACCTCCTGCAGGCTGTGAAGGTAGGCCTCCTCGGAGCAGCCCGTGGGGAAGGACACTGCGATGATGCGCTCGGTGACGTAGGTGAGGTCCAGCTCGTGGCCGTCCTCCATGGCGGGGCTCAGCGCTGCGGGCCTAGGAGACAGGGACGGTGGGCTTCGGGCCAGGCAGCAGAGGACAGCGTGGAGGGGTGCGGCTCCAGGGCCCACACAGACCTGAGCCCAGGTGCTGGGGAGCCCGTGTCTGCATGTGGAGTTTGGTCTCCTCACGGACGCCCTATTCCGCTGTCCCTTACACTCAGGGCTGGGACCCTGTGCTCCGGGCAGCAAATAAACAGAAGGTCCCTGGCCGTGTGCAGGGCACCTGGCCGTACGGGACATGTGGGGCCCTCAGTGTCGGGCTGGCCCCAGGCAGCTGTGAACTAATGCACCAGAAAGAGCACAGGCCGGGGCTGGGAGGTGCCGGTGAGCCAGGTGGCAGGTGTGGGGAGGGGATGGCCCTCCAGCCAGGGAGGAGGCCAGCTGCCCCTGCAGAGGGAGGGCTGGGGAGGAATTCATTTGGCTGTGGGAAGGGCTGGGGTGGATGTCACCTGAGAGGAGGGCACAGGTGTGAGGATGGGATGTGGGGGAGGGGCAGGGCAGGAGGCCAAGCACTTTCAGTGGGGACTGTGCTGGGGGCCACGGGCTGGAGCCAGGCCCGCAGGGGGGCTGTCCAGAGTGGAAGAGGAAGAGCCCTGGGAGAGGTGGCGAGGTCGCCCCCAGACCAGACAGCCCGCCAGTGAAACCACACACTGAGAGGGATGGGGGACATGGGGGTGTGGGACATCGGGGTGGGGGACGTCAGGCCATGGGGCATTAGGGGGTGGCAGTGTAGGTCCCTCACTACTGTTGCCACCAGCTTCGGGGGATGGTGGCTGCTGCTGCTGATTTGTTCACTACCCTTGTTATCTGTGTTGCCCCTCATTTCGGAAAAACTCAAAAACGTACAAAACAGTTTAACAACCTGCCAGATGCCCACCTTCTCTGACCTCCGAACTAACCTGCGGCTGACCCTCCCCACCCACCCCCGCCGTCTCCTGCACTCGAGGGCTTTGAAGAAATCCCTGAGGTTGTACCACTTCACGTACAAACACGTCCGCATCTATTTCCAGGAGATAAAGACCCCAGCTAGTGACGGCTATGATGCCAGCATCTCACCTGGAAGGGGTGGTGCCACCAATAATCCAACACCATAAACTCACTTTTTTAAGTTGATTTGTTCACATCAGGAAGCAAACCATTACTGGGGTTTTGCCTCTCTAACCCCATGCACCGGATGTGGGTATAGAAGAGCCGCCTTGCTTTTCAATTCCGAGTTCAATGTCTCTGAACACTGAAGGGCAACGAATACTGTGCTTCCACCACCAATCTCGGTCCCCGAGGGGCCGTCCACGTGCCAGCTCTGAGGGAGCCCGCTGCCCTGCCCAAGCCAAGCCTGGGGGCCCTCAAAATGACAGCCTCACAGCCACCCCACGGTGGTTTATAAAGACCATGCCATCCGCAGGACCTGGGCTCCCAAAGCCGGGAGGCCGCCTGGGACACGCCGAGGTGACGTGGCGTGCATTGCCTCTGGACGTGCACTTCAGAAATCAAAGTGGGAGTGAAGGTTGTTACAGAGCCGACGGGCCCCAGGCCCTGGCGACAGCAGTGCACACTCACCTGGACGGCCTGTCGCAGCAGGGAGCAGCGGACGGTGAGGCACCCCCCGGAGCCTACAGACGACAAAGCACAGGTCACTCTGGTGTCTCCCGCCCTGGCAGCCCACACCTGGCAACCCAGGTGGGGCGGCTGGCAGCTGCTCCCCAGTTTACTCCTAGATGGGCAGCCCCACTGCTGGCCACCGGCCCGTTACACTGCCGGCCAGGACACGCGGTCTGTCTGTCAGGGAGGCTCAGCCCCGGGAGCAGCGTCTCGAGTCCATGAACTGGCTCGGTCTGCATCAGCTGCGGGCATGTACGTGAAAGAGCCTATTTATATGTTGAGAGAATTCCGTCTCAAGGGGAAGGAAGCTTCAGGTCACACGGCCCTTCCCTGGGCGGGCATGCAAGTGTGCCTGTGTGAGACACACTAAGGCCATACCAACCACACTATCCCAGGAGGTGACCCGGCAATCTGCATGTCAGAACTGTCCCCACGGGGAAACCGAGGCTCATGGAGGTGCAGGGCGACCTCGCAGCTCCCCGACACCCCTCCTGGCTGGAGGCTCCCGTCTCTCCTGACTTCTGCGGAGCAGTCCCACCCCCACCCCACCTGGGGCCTTCTCTGCGGTCAGCCGGGCGGTGGGGGACACTGGGTGGTGTGGACAGGGTGCCCAGAGCCTGCCTCGGTGGGCAGAGCCCCTTCTCAGATGGGACCCGACACCTGCCTGCACCTGGTGTCCCCGCCTTGGGCCCCCAGCTCAACTTGGCTCCCACAGAGGGGACAGAGAGTGAGCACCGGCTGTTTCAGGGATCGGGAGCACGGACCCCTCCCTGAACCTCGACCACACCACTCCTTAGCCGACTGCAAACCGCAGAGGCCACCGTCTCGGCCCCTGCACTGAAGGGGGACTCGGGCAGCCAGCCCCTCCTCCACCTGCTGGGTGGAGGAGGGGTGTCCACACTGGAGTGCCAGTCTCCCCTGGTCAGGACACGGCCTCTGGTCATCTCGCAGGCTCGGAGGTGCCTGGGCACTGACCGGGATGGTGCCAGCAGAGCCCTGACCAGCCCTCTGAGGACAGAGACCACCCTCCCTGCAGACAAAGGCCTCATGCCCGGCAGGGGCTCCACACCGACTCCGCCCATTGTCCCAAGGCCCTGCCCCCACACTTGAACCGCCCCAACCAGACCAACTCCAAACACTGTGACGGTTCGGGCACAAAGACTATCCTGGCCAGCACGGCTCAGTAAGTTGGGCCCCGTTCTGCAAAGCAAAAGGCCACTGGTTCGATTCCCAGTCAGGGCATCTGCCTAGGCTGCAGGTTCAATTCCCAGTCAGGACACAGGAGGGGGCCAATCAACGTATCTCCCCCCCGGCCAAAAGTAAATAAATAAATAAAACTTTTAAAAACCAAAAAAGAATAGCAAAGACCGAAACAGACACAGATTGAAATGCTGGTGAAGTGTAAGCGGACCCAATACTTTCGAGGTCGGTCGGCCGCACACACCGAAAGCGCTAGGAAGGTCCGACGTGGACACCTCAGGGACCGTCCTGAGGAGGGCACAGGGGAGCGTGTGCAGCTGCGCAGACCGGGGCTCCCTGCGCCGCCAACTCTGCCGAACCGCAGAGCGGGCAGTGGCCAGAGGCCAGCCACACACGCCCTGGTGACGTCAGTGGGGACAAAGTGTGGGCACAGAGAGGGCAGGCCCCACTGCACCGTGAGGGTCCGAGACTCACACACCCACTCACTAGCACACACACACACTGGACACATGTGTGCACACCTGGATGACTGCACAGGCTATGAGCTCACGGGCAGCCATTTGCTCCTGGAATGTTGTGTTACATGTTTTCTCCTGGGTGCATTTTTCCCTTTCTACTAAGAACACGACTGACTTCTGCAGCGGGAGGGAGAACGGGCCAGGCCTGCAGGGTCAGCTCCTGCGAAGTCCCAGCTCCCAGAGTGGCATCCAGGCCAACCCCCCAACCCCAGCCATGGAAGGGCGCCTCCCTGTCACCGATCGCAGCTGCCGTCTGGATGGCAGGCAGCGAGGAAGACTCTACGGGGGGACCCTGAGCATTTGGAACGGGAGCACGCCCGGCCCGTTGAAGTCCCTGTGTGGGACCTCGGAGTGGGGTGCCCGGGCCCACCCACTGCCCTGTCCCCCGGGACCATGCCTCCCTCACCACTGGACTGCCCATCACTGCAGACCTTCACATCCCCTCGTGGGGCCCACATCCCGCCAGCTGATTCCAGCAGGGACCGTGCTTGGGGACTACCGTCCCCAGCAGCAGAGGTCCCATCCCTGGAGCTCACCCAGAGCCTGCCGCATCCCAAACGCACACTGCTAACATCCCAAACGGGCGGCTGGGGGGGAGCTCCCTGGCTTGGGTCCCTTCTGGAAGGATGACACCTGTGGGTCCCACACTGGGAAGGCGTGCTGGCCCTGGAGTCCACACGTCCCCAGGTCGGAGCTGAGGGAGCATCCACTCCTCCTGGCGGGGAGTCAGCGACCTGCTCGGAGGGCCCGGGCCCAGATGCACCTGAATGACCAACACTCACTGCTGCCACAACTGGGGTCAGTTCCGTGTTGGAAGTGGACACAGCAGCGGCTCTGCGGCCATCTGCCAGCAGAGGACAGTGGCCCAAGGTGTGTGCGCCACCACACTCTACCTCTGTGAACAGACAAGGGCTAGGAGCAGCTTGCAGGGGGGCAGCCACGGGCGGGAGGCGGGCCGCAGGGGGGAACGGGCTTGCTTCTCACAGACGGCCTGGTGCTCCTCAGACTGCCCTGCCCACACCGGTCACCCTGTGCCCCTCGGCAGGGACCCCAGGCCCTGCGTCACCAGAGTGAGGAACCCCGCAGCCGTCACCCCCCGCAGAGGCCAGTGGGCTGCTCCGGAGACCTGGGGGAGGCTGCGGGGGTCCCTGAGGGGAAGGCGCAGTCCTGGACGGCCACGCCCTTTCAGAGGGCCCCTGGGAGCCGGGCTGGGGTTCCTGCCTTTGGGAGCTGATGACACGGGCCCAGCTGTCCAGCGATACCCCAGTCCCTGAGCTGTCAGGCGAAGTCCTAGCTCTGGGCACAGTAATGCAAACTCTGCCCACTTGACCGTGGGACAGACGGCGGGCGGTGCCTCGGCAGGGTCGTTGGGGGTCATAGCAGGGCCTGCAGGGAGCAAAGGCCTCGCTCTGCCTCCATGGCCTCCTTTCATGTGACCTCTGGGAACTGAGAGCTGGGTGACAGCAACTGTGAGTGCCGGAGGAAGTGCCCAGTGGGGGTCACGCAGTGAGCAGGGTCACATGCCAAGGGACAGGGTGGCGGCCTCATCCTGCACACACACGTACACACATGTACACGCCTTGCCCGGGGGTGCAGCCTGCAGGCAGACGGGGGTCCAGAGGGCATGCAGCGGCAGTGTCCACACGTCCACTGCTGTGGGCTGAGGGGCAGGGCCCGGCCTGGCCCCCGAGGCCTCCTTCTCACCCCCACAGCACGAGGCCTCCGCACGCGCCAGGCAGCCCTGTGGGCTCCGGCCCACTGTGCGAGTCTCGCCTGGCTGACCGCTCGGATCCTCCACCTGCGGGCTCAGAGAGTGTCTCCCAGCCCTGGGACCGGGTACCCCGCCCCACCTACGTACACCCCTGCGCTGGTCTTTGCTTTTTCCCTCCCCTCACCTGAGGATGTGTTTACTGATTTTCAGAGCGAGGGGAAGGGGAGCAGAGAGAGAGACCATCAATCAGCCGCCTCCCACACACACCCTGACAGGGAATCGAACCCCGCAACCCTTGGGTGCACGAGACGACACTCCGACCAGCAGAGGCCCTGGCCCGGGCCCCCTGCCTTGGCCTTTTTCATGCACAGAAAGGACTGGACACTGCCTCCTTTGTCCACTCTGCATCCCTGAAGTGGACTCAGCCTGCCCGGCCTGGGTCCGCCCCTCAGCCCCTGGAGCCCCGTCCCCATAGAACTGGCACCTGTAGGATGGAGGGAGGGACCCGCCGACCGCTGGCACCCACGCCGTACATTTCAGTAATGAATCCCTAGTTAACTTTTCTCTTCAGGTGACAGAAAAACAGCTAAGTGGCTCACACGGACTTGCCCTCTGGCAGGAAGGCTGTGACGTGTGGGACCTGTGGGGTGAGGGCTGGGGCTTCTCTAAGAAGAAGCATCCAGGGAACGGAGCACCGGCGTCAGGCACCTCCAGGACACCACCCCCGGACCATTCCCACCTGCTCGCATGTGGGTTCTGCTCATTGACAGGGTGGGGCTCCGCAGCCGCGCCTGCTGGGGTTCGGACTCCCCGTGTCCCCGAGACAAGCACCGGAGCCCGGCACCCCTAGGCACACAGCTGGCCTCTGCCAGGCCGCCCCACGCCCCTGCTCACCTGGGGAAGGGCAGCGCCGGATCCCTGGGCCGGAGGGACAGGGCGCTGGCCCCTGCTGCCCGCCTGCCCCCGTGCTCTCTGGCTTTTAAGTGAGAAACAAAGAAAGACCTTTGGCAGGTGCCATCTCCGGAATCTGGGCAAGGCCCAGGCGCTTGAGGAGGACGCCAGCTTCCCGGAGCCGCTGGGCTGGGTGCCGCTGTCAGTGTGTCGGCCGGCCCGGACACAGAGGGACACAGAGGGAACGGCCGCGTTGAAAGAAACAAAAGCCAGTTGCGCAACTGGAGCCGGACTGATGAGGAAGCGTGCAGCCGGGGCCTGGTGTGGGCCGGGCTGCGGGCTGGGGACAGGTCGGCCGAAATGCTTCCGCTCGGGCAGACACAGGCGGGCGCGGGAGGACACAGGAGGGTGTGGGCGGGTGTCACGTGCGCCTGCTGCGGACTCCCAACGCCTGAGATGGAAGCCGCCACCACCACCCTCCAAACTGTCCAACCAGGGGGTTCACGACCTCCCTGTGACTCAGTCCCCTCATATGGGAAGTGGGTTGCTGCGGGGTCAGTAGGGACACCCATGGGCAGGGCTGAGCGTCTGGCCCGTCCTAAGTGCTAAGTACACACCAGCGAGGAACTCCATCACTGTGTTTGGGGGCTGGTGGGGACGGGCCCTGAACGACCGCCTCCCCGCTGTCCAG